TTTGCCCAATTTTTTTTGGCCCCCCCCCCCCCCCCCCCCCCCGCTTTTTCCCCACCCACCAACTTCTCTCGGTCTAGGCTTTGTTTGGAGCCAACTCGATCTCACCGATGCCGCTCAGTTGGACGAGCTCTACGTCCTGCTCAACGAGAACTATGTCGAAGACGATGACAACATGTTCCGCTTCGACTACAGCAAAGACTTTCTCAAGTGGTGCGTTCACGCCTCGGCAACAATTTGCAACGAGCACAAGCAAATTTAGGACTCGTACGCTTTATCGTGTCCGGCTCACGGCCTTGGCCCATCTCGTACATATCTTAATGTAGGGCTTTGATGCCCCCCGGCTGGAAGCCGGTGTGGCATCTTGGCATTCGCAGCGAAAAGTCCAACCGCTTGTTGGCTTTCATCTCAGCCATTCCAGCCGACATCCGTTGCAAAGAACAGTACGATGGTGCACTTGTCTGGTCTCGAGGCGTGTGGTGCACCCAATGCCCATAGTGTGACACTTACTCTTCTTTGGCTCACCCATGCCTCACCTGCCCGCTTTCGTTCGCCTTGCCTTTTGATTCCGCGCTATCTATGTAGTACCCAGCGCATGGTCGAGATCAACTTCTTATGCGCTCATAAGAAGTTGCGCTCCAAACGCGTGGCCCCCTCCCTCATTAGCGAAATCACTCGCCGCGTAAATCGCGAGGGCATCTTCCAGGTCAGCTCGGCGCCTGGCTTAGCCCAAAGCTGCTCTTGACCCCGGCCCAACCAGGCTCGTGCATTCTGGTCAAGACTCATGTGGCCTGAACATTTGATGCACTTGCCCTCCTCCTCCTCCTCCTCCTCCTCCTCCCATCGCACCCAACCCAGGCCTGCTACACTGCGGGTGCTGTGATTCCTCGCCCTGTCAATTCTTGCCAATACTTTCACCGCAGCCTCAACCCGGGCAAGCTTTTGGATATTCGATTCAGCGGCCTCAAGGCCCGTGAAAAGCGCAAGGACCACATCAAAAAGTATACTTTGCCTTCGGAGCCAACGGTTTCTGGCCTCAAACCCATGGAGATGAAACACACTGAGCAAGTCAAGGTCATGCTGAATGACTACCTTGCCAGGTGCGCTCGTGCCCTGCCGCTGCTTGCCTAGTGCCGGTATGTACTGCCCTGCAACCACTTGCTCATCTCGCTGTGCCACGAGTCAGGTTTGATCTCGCGCCCGTCTTCTCGGTCGAGGAGGTGCAACACTGGCTGCTGACCCGCGAAGACGTCGTGTATTCTTTCGTTGTTGAGGTACGCCTTGGACTGTCTTTTGCGCCCGCCGTCGTGGACCATGCGAATCTTAAATATGGACGGCCTTTAAATCCGCCTCATCGTTTGATCAAACCACCTTGTCTTGAACTGCCCGGTGACAGGATGATGAGGGCAATGTGACAGACTTCTTAAGCTTTTACAACCTCCCCTCCACCGTGATGAAGCACCCTGAGCATAACCATCTCAAGGTGAGCCCTATAGTATAGAAGCAAAACTGCCTTTATCGCTTCTTTCTCTATTCCTTGGCGCTCGTTTGAACACCATATGTCCCTTGTCATCTCACTGATGACATCTTCAACAGGCGGCTTACTCTTACTACAACGTCGCCACCAAGCATGATCTGACTGAGCTCATGCGTTCCGCGCTGATCTTGGCCAAGGAACGTGGCTTTGATGTCTACAACGCCCTGCAACTCATGGATAACGGCTCCGTTTTCGAAGCATTGCAGTTTGGCCCCGGCGATGGCAAGCTCAACTATTACCTCTACAATTATCGTCTGAAGGCCGAGAGTAGCATTGGTCTGGTCCTTCTGTAAACCGCTTATGACTGAAGGCAGAGTGTCGCTCGTCGTGGTTGGATCGAGTCCATTGGAGCGGGCTGACCGATGGTCGCCCTGTGTCTCATGCCCAATCGAATTTTTGAGACGTACCACACATACACGCACACACAACCTGGTCCCTTGACCACTACCCTAGTCTCCAAGGCGCCCTGCTGTGGAGGATGACGTTGGCAACAAGGCAAAAACATCATGGGGGGAGGGCGCGGGGGTTTGAGCCCTTTATTTTTTTTCTCTATCAATAACAGCAGTCTCAATACGGCTAGTAGCGTCAAATTCGTCCCTCAGTGTCTGTCATAATGAAAACACACTCCAATTTGTATGTTCGAGCTTCGACCTCTCCGTGACCATTTTGATTCACATGTCTACTTCTCTCATAAGGCTTTCGAAGCGAACTCACCAAAGCTCGAAAAAAAAGAAAAAAAAAAGAAAAAAAAAAACACTAGAAAAAAAAATTAACATGGGTCGTGTGTGTCTCATGAGCCCTGTCTCATCAAGTCGACTTGGTATTAAACTTCTAAGCACATCTACAAAGGCTTTCGCAGAACATGTTTTGGCTGGAATGGAAGGGGTTGGATTCGAGTCGGACCGTGTTTGTGTCGCTTTGAGAGCAGGTGCGCAAATTATTGTTGGCGCTTACGAAAGGCCAGCATGCGCTGCGAGATGAGGCGCACATGAACAGTCAAGCGCCTTGCCAGGAGCACGGCGAGGCTCACCCCGAGCAGCACCGCCAAGAAGCTCGCCCCCTCAAATAATAGCCTGGGGGATGTGTGAGATGGGATTCGGTGAACCTTCTACATATGTACAGCGGCGATCACAAATGGCCACAAAACCGCCAAGTCGTACCGGGGTGCGAAAATCTTCCAGACCATCAAATGGCGGCGCAAGACAAGCGCTGCTAGGGCGGTGGCTGTCAGTTGTGCTCCTTGCAGCGCGAGTAGCTTGACCATACTCCGCAGTAGGCCTCTGCTTGTGACAGGGTTACAGCCCAAGATCAAACCAGTCCATCAGGTATTGCCAGCCGGTGGTACGACACATGAACACGATTCAAAAACCACAACTGACGTGCGATGTGCATTGGGATGGTAGTGCTCAGCCCACAGATCGCCATGGTTACCCGGATCATCCTCTCCTGCTTCCGTCTGGCCATCATGGGTCTGATACAGGTTCAATCACCCAGGCGATCAAAGCAAATGAGCCACACATCTGCTGACACTCGCAAAAAAAAAAAAAAAAAAAAAAAATGGCAAAAGGCAAATTTCGTACAGCAAAGGTGAGCGGCCAGTAAATTTGCAAAGGCAGCGTCGCCCCCGCCACAACAAAAGTGCCAAAAGTACTCCAAAAGACATGAATGCCTGACACGGCAAAGTTCATCTCCTGCGATAAAGCACTCAGGTCAGGCTCATTCCCTTTGACATCCAGGGGACCGAGTGCTACCAGGACAGAGTGCCAGCAAGCAGCTGCTTCCCTCTGCGCATACGCACCTCAAGTCCAATCAGCCCCGGCCCCCATTTGATGGAGGATATGGTTGCTTGGTGGTGTGTCCAAAAAAAGAAGCAATGCCCGAAAAGAAGCCACGTCAAGCACTGTAGCCACGACAGTTCGAGCTGATCCTGTGCAAATAATTGATAATGATGGCAGAAATGCAAAAGAAGAAGAAGAAGCAGAGTAAACGAGGGCGCGAAGGAATCGAAGGCAGCAGTTGGTTGCTTTGGGGCACAACGCAGTTGCCCTACCGTGCCAGGCGGGGCTGCATCCGCCATCTCCGGGTTGTCAGCTAGGCTTTCAGTTCTTTTGAGATTGTGAAAAAGAATGATCAAGGGCAAGAAGATCAAAGCTAACATGAGTGCCTTCCATGCCCAGAGGCGCGCAGTTGCAAAACCCAGGTCAATAACGAATTCGCTTTCTGGTAGCCTTGCCTGATAAGACGCTGTAGGCTCAAAAGCATGAGGTATCCACAGAACGTCAGGACCATCAGAGCCACGGGCACAGCCAACCTAGGTCAGCACGGCGGCAAAATAATATGATGAATTCCCACTTGGTTGACTTGGGGTATCAAGACAAGTGGACGAGGCTCACCAGGCAGGTGTCGTTAAAAAGAGATGGGTGAGAACAGTTGCACCCAGCAGCAAAAAGCTTGCAGAGTGAACCACAGTCAGGCCATGTGCAAAGATGGTGGGTTGTGATCCTGCAATGTGAAGACGCCTGAATGAAACAAAACGAACAACAGTTTTGAAAACAAAAATCAAAACCAAAAGTAGAAGCCACATCACGGTTTCTGGTCGCCAACAACCATATCCCGAGATGGGGATAAGTTGCCAATACTCTCTTCTTACCCTGATCATCAAAGTCGAGCCGAACAGAAGCCGGGCGCCAGAGCAGGCCGATAACTAGCAAAAGGAGCGGAGGTACAATGCGATCAGCATCGCCAACTGCGGCTGCTAATTAACAGCATTGCAACCATCGAGTTGGGAGACACTGTCTGGCGCTTACAGCAAACACCATTAATAGCCATGGCAAGACGCGGCCAGAACAATCGAGCAGCTGGTTGTAGGAGATCGATGCCCAAGCGTCTCGAAAGCCAGAGGATGTGAGTGGCCTAAGGTAAAAACCAGCAACTTGAGCAAACTACTGGCCTGCCACGGCAAACGATTGGGCGCAGAGGCAGGTGCGGCCCGCCTCCGCCGTCGCATACTCTCCCGCAACAAGCACCCCTGCATCCGGTCTGAGACCCGCCTTACCCGCCGGGCAGTGTTTTGATCTTGAGAAGCGTTGCTGTTGCCATTTGCGGTCAAACCTCCCATCACTTGCTCATAAGCCCACTCCATGGAGATGGCCAAGAGCAGTGGCCACAGCAGGACACGCAAGCGCCACCACCCCAACCCAAAGAGCGCCGAGTGCCGAGATGCCCTGCCACACCATGTAGCAAATATTGGAATTCAGTCATACTCGCCAGCGTGGCGCAAGGTTTCTTAAAAAAGCTTGATCATCTTACGCACCACCAGTAATGCGCCAGGTTGACAGCAAGGAGGAAGGCCGAGGCCAAAGATGTGGCTGTTTCCGTGCCACTGAAGTGTTCATCAAAAGAGTGGAAACATGCATCTTGTTCTTCGCGACAGTGGCTACGAACACATCAGGACATGAACATCCAGGGCGGCAAAAGCTGCATGGCTTTGTGCTATCAGTCAATCACGCATCGGCGCCGAAAATCGTACCGGAACACTTGCCCAAGACGCAGTGCAGCCAGCGTTATAACCAAAGCCCCAACCAAGCCCAGGCGGTGCTTAAGGCTTGTTGTGTCTGCCGGCCAAAAATGAGAGCACGATAATAGTTTAGTTCAGAGTGTGACGTGCAGTTGAGTGAAGCTTGGTCGCGTTCCAGAGTGGTATGGTTAACGTAGCAATGGAAGCCACACGTACAAGGCAAGGACCGCGTTGCTTGTAGCATCACCAGCGAGGCTGCCAAAAAGGCAACCTGCAAGTCTTCGTACACCACCAAACTGTTGGAGAAGGGCGTGGCTACACGCACAATCTACCAATGCAACATACAGGGTGAGGGCACGCAAGGCTCAAGTCGACTGAACAATGAATCCCGCCAAGATTGACAGTTTGTCTGACTGCTTTGGCGCGGCATATGCCTTGAATTCAAAGTCCCGGTACGTACCCAAGCTGCAAGGAGAGCGCCCGTTGACCAAGACAGGCCGGCAAGTTTAAAACTGAGTGGGAGCAAAGCACGGGCAACCAGTACTAGAAGGACCAGTGTGGCGCCCAGCGCACTGCAGGCTACCAGTATGGCTGCAGGCGCAGCCTTGGTCACAGTATGAATGGGCACAGGTAGCAAGTGTTCTAGGCTTAATAATGCCACACCAACACCTGCACCCAGCTAGGGGTAACAAGACAATGGCAACAAAGAAGTCCAAAGTCAAAACAGCGTGAGCGCATCAAGCATGCCACGCGTCACAGCGCCACCCACCAGAAGTGCAGAAAGAATCTGAAGCCATTGGTGACGAAGTTGATTTTGTTCCACAGCCAGGATCAGGTAGGCAACCATGGCCATCAGCAAGACGACACCTGCACACATTGGTACTGAACAGGCATAGCGAAATTGTTGTCAGATTCAGGACTAGAGACGCAGTTCAAAAGCCGTCAACGCTGGGCTACGTCAAAGCCAACCAATATCAAAGGTGGCCCACGATTGTCGTGCGACGAGTTGAACATCGTGAATAAATTCAGAGGCTGCACCAACAGCCTTTGTGGCAGTTGCTTCCTGTTGTCGCATGGGTTGCCAGCAAAGCAGGAGGCAGTTAAGCAAAGAAGGGGAGCGAGGCAGTGGGTGTGATGAGAGCGCACCAAGGTGTACTAGAAGGCGATGTGAAAGAACTGTGTACACGCTGACACACCGAGTAGTTTTCTTGTCGAGCTTCCTGCAAAGCGTCGAGGACGCGCGCGTAGGCTTGGCGCAGAGCTGACCGACGATTGGCTACAACAAAGACTTGTGCGTGAAGGCGGGAACACGAGATGGATGTCACATGCCTTCGTGCCAGCGCTTACCAGCAAAGTCAGGAGATACAGCCGCATAGCTAGTTAAAAAGCGCTCCACCTAGGATCGTGCAGAACGATGAATCCTCGACTCCCCTTCGCAGCTTGATATCACCTTTGTCTGTGATTTGGAGCCAAGGCCATTGCCCGTAGTATAAGGCCATCATTGACAGACCTGAGCAGCATTGATGCCGGCCGTTTCAACAAGCTGAGCTTGTGTGGCGTTGTGCGGCAGCACATCCCAAATGAATCGTCCCAGCGAGTTGAAAGGGATGGGGACACCCAGCGCTAAGGCCACAGTTGCGGGTAAATCAAGCTGATCCACACGCCTCCGTGCTAGTGTCGAGGGTGGCGAGCTCAGGCCACCAGGAGCGTACGCAAACAGAGCCGCGCCGAGCTCTCTGAAAATGTCAATAAAATGGAACAGTTGAGGAGTAAGAGCCAAGGAAATAAGTTTGCAACGTGGGGCAGGGAATGAATGAAGCTGCCTGTACGCCCACCCCAAAGTTGCGACATGAAAACAAACTCAAACTTGAACATACGCAGTGCTGTCGCCACCATGGTCACCCGAGGCTGTCATGCCATGGTCGCCCAGGATGAGCAGCAAGTCTGATGGAGTCAGTGACTGGATGATCTAGGAAGAGTGAATAGTAGTCAAGCGTTGAGACGTTGCTGCTGACGGCGTAGACACCATCGTAGCACCAAGACAATGACAGAGGTCAATCACTCACTCGTGCTACATGATCATCCACCTCGCGCAGCTTGCGCACCATGGCCGGGTGGCTAGGGCCAAAACTGTGAACCACATCCAGCCCAAGTTAGTACGCATTGCCAGCGTGTCAAGGCAAGTGAGGGGTTGGGGTGGGGAGGTGATGAGGCGCACCGATGGCCACAGTGATCGACGCCCAGTTCGTGACCCACAATGACCTGCAACGAGGGGTCAGCAAGGAAACTCGGCATTTGACGTCGCACACCCAGATCCACCGTCTCCAAGTCTCGCACATTGAAGGAGGGAAAGGGATGCATCTCATCGAACTGAGTAGGGAAAAGGCCCTGCCATGACATCCAGCACGCGTCAGGGTAGCAAGTGCGCTTCCAAGAGCAAGGTGGCTCTGGTAAAAAGGTAGAGAGGAGCAGGAGCAGGAGCAGACAAAAAAAGAAAAGGAGATGGTAAAAGTCGCAAAGAAGGGGTAAAAACAGAACCCAACGGGATCGTGGCTCACCTCCCAGGTGTCATCTCCGACAAAGGCTAGCCGCTTGCCTTGACGTTTCAGCTGGTCGATGAGGTTGTCTTCGGTGATGGCAGTACCGGCAAAATTGCTGTGCAAGGGAAGGGTGCACCGTTGATGAAGAGTCCATGCCACGGGTACGGACAAGGTGGCATCGGGTGAAGCCGTGCCTTGTAAGACTATTGTCTAATTCATACCTATCCAGATCCAAGAACGTCGGGAGTCCACCAGTAGTCAACCCTTTGAGCCGCTGCAGCGTCGTGGTGGGCGCATCAGCCCAAAACTCAAACAAGCGCGCTTGAGAGGCATTCTGCACCAGTAAGCTGTTGGTCCAATTTGTCCCAAAATTAGCATGATCATGATCATCGTGAGCCACAACTGCATGACACTGGCGGACGAAAATCGCGCTGGCCTCCCAGCCTCCAGGTGTCGATAACAAACCTTTGCATGTACGGGAGTTGGTTGTGCCAGGTCGGTGGCTCAGCAGTTGTATCAGGTGCCACAAAGTCGTGTCGTAGGGCATCTACAACTAGGATGACCACTCGCTTGTAACTGCAGCATCGCAATGGTGAGTGTGTGAGGCATGGGCTGGCAGATCAGGTTCTTTCATCAGAGGCGCTCCAGGACGCACGGTTGAAAGGGTGACCAGCACTGTCCCAGGTTAGATACATGGGCCGAGGGCATGGCAGTGGCTGCCACTGCATCATGGCAGCTGCTCGTCGCCTCCAAGGCATGGCGCGCCAGCAAAAACCCATTGAGAAAGGTGTACAGGCCGATGGCCAGACACAGTGCTGTGGTTCCGACCCAGCCTGCTCGAAGCACAAAGGCCACGTGGAAGACGGGCGGGTGGGTGAGAATGCTGATACGTCTTCCAGCCTCCTGCACCTATCTGTGGCCCAGCATATCAACCCAAGTTGCCACAGGCTCAGTTTGTCACCGCACCTGCGATGCGCGTCCAGGACGCACGACGTTGCTGGTCTGCCCTCATCGCTTGTGAACGTTATAATTTTTATTAAAAATTTGGGGAAAGTTGGAATTAAAATTTCAAGACCAAAAGTTTGAATGAAAGGAAAGCAAGTTGAGAGCGACAACTTGTCGTGAACGAGGTGTTAAAGCAAGAAGGCAAAGCAACAAGGCTTCGACAACACGGCATTGGTGTGGGCTCGTGCCATTTTCACAGCGACCTGGCGGGTCGATGTTTATTAAACCATTTGGCCCAGTTGGGTTGTGGGTCTCAATTGTGTAATCGGTTGAGTCTCTGAACGTTTAAAAGGGATTGCCACGCGAGCGGCCAGCACAGGAGCTGAGCCTGAACGGGGGGCGTTCGAGGACGGCTCGGCTCTCGGGCCAGTAGTGCGCACGGTGGGCAAGGGGAGGATGGCGAAGGAGGAAAAGGCCATGATGGCGAGATTGATGATAGCAGGGATATGCAGTTTAGTGCATTGGCTACTCATTCTTCTTGTTCTTGCGTGCGCGGCGTTGTTCATCGCTGTCGATTATGCACCGGAAAAGCACCAACAGCAAATCATGAGGATCGAGCGTATGGTTTATCAACATCAAAAATTTGCCAAGCTGGCTCACGTACGCAGAAAGACGGCCCTTGACTTCGCTAAGATCTTCAACCTTCTGTTGGATTCATGCAGACGGCACGGCAAGGATGAGAGGAGAGTGAGTTGAATGCCTTTCGTGAGCAGCCATGGGAGCATTGTCCGTTTGCAAAATACGGACCCGGCCCCCTGATTTGCCAAAGTTGCTGAACATGCGGATGATCAAGAAAAACCAGTAGACGTGAAGAACGATCAGGCCGCAGTGCATAGTGAGAAAGCAGGTCATCTCCGTGGTGTCGAAGCGCGAGGTGTAGGCCACTTCGGTTGCCAGCTGATACAATCACCGAAGGTTGGCCCACGCATGTTGAAAAAGAGCGAAAACAAAGGTTGAGGCATCTCATGAGAAAATCTTAAAAAGTCGAGACCAAGGACCATGGGTGCTGCAAACGTACCATAGCCATGTATCCGAGACGGCAGACAAACCATGACAGCAACAACATGGAGCCGGCAACCGCAGACATGGCTGGGCTGTTGATGGCAATCATGGCTAAAACCAAAAACAAGAACATCAACCATGACCAGGACAGTCAAGTCAACCGCGCGTCAAAGGGGACATTGATCGAACAAGGTGGATACCCCATAGGCCCATTTCTAACGGACGCACCTCGGGTCAAGGAGACAAAGATGTCGGGAATGTCGTGAACAAAGAAAACAAGCGAGCCACAGCGCAGGTAGCCTTGACTGAAAGAAGACGCAATCAGCAGAACGGTGATGACGTGGTGAATGTAAAAGGCCACCTTGGCACCAATGACCGCATCCACGATGGCGTTGTGCAAATGGAAGGCAAAGCCAGCCTAATAAAGTGGGTGATGAAGGTAGTGCACGTGAAAATGACGTCAGGAAAGGTCCGAGTCGTTGCAGTTGCATACGCGCCAGGGCATCGTTGAGAGTGCAAATCTTTGCAAGGCGCGAGGCCAATACCTTGTAAAGCACGGCAATATCATAGTCAATAGCCCAGACGGGATCCGGCTTCAGCGTGGGATCGTGCACGTAGGGCCCACCAAAGTACCAAGGCAGCCACGATTGCTGGCTCAGAATGCTCCATTGCCAGATAACCACTCCGGTAAACCAAATGACTGACACGATCAGGATAAACATAAGGCAGCCAGGCAAAGACACGGGCAGGGCAAGACGTTGTGAGAAGACTTCTAGCGACGAGATGCATGAGCGACCAAGTGGATGTTTGAACAAACCTTTGAAAAAGTATGGCGCGGCCTTGTATCGTTTGCCAGCAATTTGCGCAAAGGTGCGGAAGAACAAAAGGGTGCCCAGCAAGATCAAGAACTGTTCATCAACGAGCTTGTCCAGGCGATACTCAAGGAGAAATTGTTGCAGCGGCTACCAATGTGATGCAAAGAGTGAGCCACGCTGGATGCAACCTTGACAAATGATGAGGGCCTTGCTGCCAAATTCTGAGTGAGCTTTACCTCATTGAAGACATCGAAGAAAGGTGCAATAGCGATGGCAGCCAGAGTCAGCAACACGAGGAGCTAGACAATATTTATGATAAAAGAAAAACAAAACAAAAACAACAGTGAGGATGAAATTTAAATGTGCACATTGATCGAGCACAACAGTGTCCACTAGCCAGATTCCCTTCTACGGCCCTTGTTTGGATGAGACATACCGTTGAGCGGTAGATGCTAAGATAGTACAGCAGAGCCGAGGCCTCGCCAATCGAGCCGACCTGTTGTTGTAGTGCCAAGTGGAACAATGCCAATGAGCCACGGAACCTGTGATGCATCACTCATGCGAGGCATGTTCGTGTGCCTGTCCCACCCACCTTGTAACCCGAGCGCCACACGCCACCATGGAAGGAGCCATAACGAAATTGTTCAAGCTGGTTCGACAACTCAAAGGACGGATTGGCCTTGCTCTGCTCGTTGCGGACGTCGTGGATCAGCAGCGCCCCCATGACCGCGTTGGAGGTTTCCTATGGGCCCCCAAACGCACCGCACCCCAAGAAAATGTGAGATACAAGCTTGTGCGCAAGCAGTGTGACCGAGGGTTGGTGCTCTGACCTGCCAAGCAACCTCAAAGGCCGGGAAGTGCTTCCAACCTCCGTAGGCTGCAGCAAAGCTCTTGTTGTGCACGACCGACAGCGTCGCCGTGGAGGGGGCAATGTTGGATGACACACGAGAGCCCCCCGCGCTATCAGAGCCCCCAAAATACTGTCATGAACCCAGTGCAATTGTACAATTCCCACGCCTGCTGCAAAGCAAAAGGTTCTTACCGAGCGACCATGGCACGCCAGTGCTGCAGGCGCTTGGCCAAAGCATAGTTGGGACCTATACTCGGGGCAAAACGAGCCAGAAGATGAATAGAGAGAAACAAAGACGCGGCAGCAGAGCGGGGGTCGAGACACGGAACCACGCTTTGACGGAAAGAGAAAGCACATAAAAATGCCACAAATTCATTCATCATAGCCCACACTTGAACCTGACCGGTTACCGGGCCTCAAACTCACCTTGCTGCACAACAATACCGTCGTTGATGGCATAGGTGCGAGTTCCGGAAGCATCCTGAACCAGGGGCAAGACGTTCTTGGTGCAAGCCTTCTTCATGACAGTGCGAAGGACAGAGACAAATGTCTTGACCGAGCCAGGGTTCTTGTAGTTGGCCGCGGCCGCATCACGAGCATCCGTGCTGACCTGCACCCAGTGCAGCAAAATTTATGACGTGAGAAGAACTATCAATCAAAAGCAAATACACCAGACCATGATGCGCAGCCTGCGTCATCCACGCACCACAAAGACGTCGGTGGGCGAGCAGAGGTAGGCCAGAGTTGTCACCGTCTTGCGGCGACGGATCACACCGGCCTTGATGGCATCCATGGCAAGCGAGACGCGCACATGCTTCTCGCCGTCCAAATAGGCATATCTATTGAAGCGCACAACAAAGTAAATCACTTGCTGCACGTACACAGCAAAACACCACCTCGAAACCAAGCAAAAGAAAACGAAGAAGACCAAAAAGGAGCGCCATGGGACGAGGGGCAGCCTACCCGCCAACAATAAATTCTTCCTTGGGCATGAGGTCAGACACCCAGTTGCAAATTTCGGGCGTGTCGGTGAACAGGTTGGCGCCAGCGTTGGCATAGATCAGCTCGTCCGTAGTCAGCTCAGCCACGGGTTTCTACAGCATGCGGCACACGCAGCGTGGTTGAGTGTGGCAGCATCGTTTCTGTGGGCGAGCCACGCGTTCAGCCTTGACAGCCAGAGCCGAGTCGTACCTTGGTCGGGAAGATCAAGGTACCGGCACTCTCGCGAGCCACCTTGATCAGACGCTCCCAGATTTGCGGGCGGTCGAGGTCGAGGGCAATGACGTTGGCCCCGAGAGCCATGAGGACAAGATAGGGGCCCATGGCTAAGGGCAGCATGCAGCCAGCGAGGCGAGGGACCACAAAGCGCGAGGTCAGCGGTGGTGCGTGCGCCAGACACCTTGTCTGATATGGGTGTACAGGACGAACCAGAGCCGGCACCAAGAAGGACAAAGTACTTGTCGCTGAGATCCACCCATTCGTCGTGGTCTGCCACGGCAGCAATGGCATCACGGGCGCTGAACCACAAAAGGTCAAAATTAAGGAAGGTGTTAGGCAACGCACGATAGAGAAAGGTAGGGGTGTCAAACACAGCTTCAAGCCAGACCTGGGTTCGATGGTGCCATTCTTGACCCATTGATCAAGTTGCTTCTTCAACGCTTCGCCTACACGAGTGATACGGGATGAGTTGGGACGAGAGAAGCAGCAGGCACAACAAAGCACCGACTACAACTGAGCAGGGGATGCCTAGTCATGACGCTTGACAAACCGGTGAGATCTTCAAGGGGAGACTGCTCCGGGTAAGGTTTGCGACGGTAGGGCACCTTGTACACGGGGTCGCGTTTGCCCGAGCCCTTGATGGTCATGGTGCCCGGGAAGCTGTGGGAAGCCAATCAGAATTTGCGTGTGCAAATTTTGGATCAGGGGCAAGCCACGTGGAAAGGGGAACATGAGGCGGACGCGAGCGTATGAGGCCAGAGAGGGAAGTCAGGCGGATTTGGCAAGACGCACCTGGCCGTGATGGTGCTCATGGCAGTGGCCAAGGACATGACCTTGCCGTCACGAACAAACTCAAACTGGTTGTGCATGTAGTCGAGACCCGTTTGGGCAACCTTGAGAGCAGTCTCGGGAGTGCGCAGCGAGATGCGCACGTTCTCGATGAAATGCTTGCCGTAGCCAAAGCGCCAGTTGCGCTCCTTCATGACGGCCACCGCTGCCTGAGGATCCACGTCCATGACGCTGCGTGCAAGCACGGCTTGACCCGTCGAGCTTGTACTATAGAGGGGCAGGGTGAGTTTGGGGTTGAGGGAACAGCGAACATGCATGGGCATGCAAGTTATGCAGAAAACCATGGTTACCTGCGAGTGCCAGTAGCGTCGGCAGGCCACTGGATGCCCTCGGTGGGCTCGGGGCGAGCAGGGCGGCGCTTGCCAAAGACCTTGCGACGCTGGGCCCACACGTGCATGTAGAGACCCGGAAAAACTGCAGCGAGGGGCGGGGTGGCGTTGGACGACGAAGCGAGCGTTGAGATATCACGGCGAGGTTTACAAAGGTCAAGGCAAAGGAATCATCAAAAGCAAGAAAGAAAGAACGGCAGTGCTGACCGATGGGATAGAGAGACAGGAAGGCCATGATGGTGTAGTTGAAGGTGAGAGCGACGCGAGCGAGGAACTGGGCAGTTTCGTCGTCATCCGGTACGCGCTGCTCCTCGGCCAGAGCATCATAGTAGCCAATGGCTTGAAGAATGCAGGCAATTTCCGACTGGATCGTACGGAGAGCCAACACAGGGGGTTCAAATTGAGGGAGAAAACAAAAAGATAGACAGAAAGAGTGGAACGCGAGTGCTGATGGGTTGCTGTGATGATGGGCTAGAGGGACGTACCGCGACGCCGAGCGGGTAGAGGACGACAAAGAAGGAGTAGCGGCACCAGGTCAGAAAACCAGGGGCATCGCCAAGCAAGAGCTTGGTCCAGTACCAGTTGTAGCGCACCACCTAGCACGACGTGCAGCGGTCGGTGAGACTGTGATGTGGAGCGCTTGGTCAATGTGAAGAGAGGGGAAAAAAAAAAAAAAAAGATAGGACACCAACCTCAGTGACGGCCCAGGCAAACGTCATGGTGTAAAAGGCCAGGGAGTTCATGATGCGGGGGTTGATCCAGCAGGCCGCCCAGACAAGCATTACGCGCGAGAGGACCTATAGCAAGCGGATTGGGGCAGGAGGAGGGTAGAGCAACGAGGCAAGCCGCGTGAGCCGAGGGCCTCTGACAACTGGAATTGCGGGTCAAGGGAGGAAAGGGCAGGAGGGAGGGACCGAGCGAGCAAGAGGTCGGACCTGCATAAAAGTGGTTGAGACCTTGGCCTTGACAAAGCCGAGGGCCGCGTGTACGACCTCGAGGATGGCAGCGGTTTGGAAGATCTGCGCGTGGGGTTTTACAAGAGGTGCCAGACAGTGAGTTTGGCTCTTTCTGTGTCTGGGTACTGGACACTCAATACGACCAAGAGTAGTCAAGGGGCTCGCAAACAGGGCAGACCTGCAGGGCGTGGAAGAGGGGCATGCCACTTGTGCTATTGGTGCAAACGATGCCATGGGCTTGGGCGGGGAGCCAGGCTGGCGCGAGGTCAAGCTCACGCTCACCAGCCACCCCATTGCAGAGATGAAACGGGCGGAGCAGATCATACAAGATCATGGACCAGCTAATAATAGGGGAAGAGAGGGCGGAGCATGCCGATTGAGAGAGCGTGACCAACAGTGGAGGCGAACAAGGTGGAGGAAGAAGCGGGAAACGTGCGCAGAAAAGCGGGGAGGAAAAGAAGAAACAGAGGGAGAATGCAGGATAGCGATGCCGAGGATGGCCATGTCGAGCGAGCAAGAGAGCGACAGAGCAAGTCGTCCAGCTGACGGGGCACATTGCCGCTCCATGGCTCAGAACACGTCGGTGAATCTTTGCTTTTGACGAACAAGATACACGTACCCAGCAGCAAGAACCGCATTGTAAATGATGAGGTAGCCATCAACAATTCCGCCTGAGCTGGCCTTGTCGGCCGCAGCACTGGCTCCGCGACCCTGTGGCGGTGCCATTTTGACGGTTCAACGACAAAAATCACAACCGAAATTGAAAGAGAGAGATAGAGAGAGAGAGATAGAGGGAGAGAGAGAGAGGACAGAAAGACAAGAGACACACACAAAGAAAACAGCCGTTTCAACACACATGTTTGATTTGTTACAGTTTAACACGCTTTCAAGTACCAAGCTGTGTGATTGATTCAAATTTTTGGACAAGGAGGATACAACGTGTACAGGATGAGTCAGGGCAGATCGGGTGATGTGTGTGCGTGTGCGGGCTTCTCGTTTTGCAGGCTGCTTTCATGATAAGCTCCTAACTGTTGTACATGCACATGTATTATGACCTTTGCCTCTTGACAATCGTTTGCAATTGTCAAGTATTCGTGCTTTGTACAGCTCAAAACATTTGGGATTGGATGGATGGAGCATTGATAGCAGACCGTTTGGTGGAAAGAAGCGCAACAAGAAAGGGGGTTACGGATACTAGATTTGAATGAAAGCTCAGCTTCTTCCTGCTGCTATCCCTTTCAGACAGCAGCAAGCTCATGTGATCACTCAGCGCCGATGTCTATAACACCAAGAGCCCATAGGCACGGGAAAGTGAGTCGTTATCGCATGTATTTGTTGAACGAAGCCAAGCACTTGGGCCTTCTGATGGCCTTCAACAACGCCTCAGTGTACAATGCAACGTACCTGAGTCGAACAGCAGCGCCCGATGGCCGGCGCGGTCGCTCCTGCGGGGGTGGGGGTTGAGGGAAGTGGCTGCGACGCCGCGGGGGCGTAGCCGATCGTGGAAGCGAAGCTTCGACTTCCAGAGTACCTGCACGCCGCAGCCGCTGGACATGCCGCGGCGTTGGCGAATCGACTGAAAGGTTCGAGTGGCTATCAGACTCCTCCAAAACTTCAACGGGTGCAGGTTCTTTCAAGACCTGCTGCACAAATGTGCTGCCAGGCGCAGGATCAGGCACGTCAGCTCCACTGTCATGCTCCGAGCCAGGCATCGAAGTTGCCTTGGACACGCCTTGGGTTGCCTGAACGGCGTGCAGTGCTGATGATGGGGCAAAGGCATGTTGGCCCGATCGCCCTGCGCTGGCATTAGAGCCCCGTCGCGCAGTGGCCAGTGCTGGATTATCAAGTAGACCGGTTTTGGTGTTCGCGGTTGCTTTAAGGTCGCGCGCCTTGCCGTGCGTACCACCCTCGACCCGACGTCTGGCTGCATCATCACCATGATCGGCGCCAGCACCGGATGCTACGGCAGCTTCGCCCTCATCTTGGACTAATTGGCGCACTCGATCGTGCAACAGACCCTTGTGGGTGGGCCGTTGCTCTGTAATCGGCAGAAGCGGGGGGTCAGCATTGCAATCCTTCTGTTTCACGGCAAGTGTCATCTTAGGCCCACTGGGTTTCACAGGGGCAACAGCCGGCGCAGCAGGGGCAGGTGAAGCAGCTTGGGCAGCAGCTTGCTTGAGCTGCAGACCAGCCAGCCCGGATGATAATGCAGACCGAACATGGGCATGGGCTACCACGCGCTCGCCCACGACCGGTTGGCCGTGCTGAGCAGCAAGGGCTTCGTCAGGCCGCCAAGCCACACGCCGAGGTGGATAGCGCCTCTTCGAGTCCGTGGCATCCATGCTGAAAACTCGAATCATAGCGCTATAGTCGGGCCGGTCTGCAAAACCCAGGTTGGCTACTTGGGTCACCAAGTGGACGTAGGGCGTAGGTAGACCCTGGGTGAGCGCATCCAAGCTATACTGCTCCTTGAGCTTGCGAATCTCGTCACGGTCACGAAGATGACGCCAGGGCAAGGCGCCCAGGATGAGCTCGATCAACGAGTAGAGCAATGAAATTAAGTCATCTCGTGGAGCCTAAGGGAAGACACCGTGGTGTGGAACAAAGGTCAAATTTACACTCTTCTTTGCAGTGATGCTTGGGTTATGATGCCTGAGCCAAGAACAATGGTGCCAACTCGCACTGGGAGAGCAGGTATGGGCTTACCAGCTCTTGATTATTATGTGAAGCCAAGCTGGCGTAACGACCAGTGCCGCGAAAGGCCGCAACCGGCCGAGGGGGCCGCACTGCTCCGTTGTTGTCCTTGTAGAACCGCGCGAGCCCAAAGTCAATCAGGTATATCTTTCGATATGTCTCGGGTGAACCGCCCACTACAAAGTTGGACGGTTTGATATCGCGATGCAAAATCCCGCGATCGTGCAGCTAGTAGATAATGTTCGTTTGTCCATCGTTCCATTTCGCAAGAATGTGTGTGTATGTGTGTGCAGGATGTGCACAGAGAGGAGAAGAAATAGAGAAAAAGATGGAAAGAGCAGGTCGACAGACCGCGCCGTGAGGATTGGCAGTAAAGGTTAAGACAATCAAGGCAGGTAGGTGACCTGTCAGATGGACAAGCCATGTGTCAAAGAGCCTTCCACGCACGACTTACAGCTTCGAGGGCCTGAAGCGCTTCGCAAGCAAAATAGCTGACGGAACGTTTTTCAAGACGGCCTCCCTGCGAGCACTTGCGTAGATCTGCCAGGTTGCGACCCAACAAGGGCTGCACCATGTAGCTGAAGCGCTCATTACGCCCAAAGTCGAGCACTGTGGGAAAGTGAGGCCGATCGCCCACCAATCGTAGTACGGCCAGCTCCATTTTTAACACGCCCTAGACAAAGCCACGAGGCCGATGAGTGCTCTAGCGTTGGGTCAGGGCTTGACACGACTTGTCGTCCATTCAACAATTAATCGATCCACACCCAAAGGCAATCTGATGCCACTTTGCTGGACGACGCAGGCCATGCCTGCCAGGGCTACACAGACCTTGGGAAGTTTGTTGCTTTCCACCTTGGCAGCGGCTGTTCCAGTCCCAAGAACGTCGTCAACAAGGTAAACTTGGCCAAAGCCGCCAGCGCCCACCTTGGTCTGGACACGCCATCGCGACTTGATCAGCTCACCTACTTCTGCCAGGTCGGGGGCCTCGGACGCTACATCATGCAAGTTCCAAGGGCGCAGTGAGCTGGGTGCGTGACAAAGGAGGGTGTGGAATGTTGGATCTTGATCCTGCTCCCTGTCGCTTTAAATGATGCTTCAGGCAAGATGGAACGTCACTATCGAGTCCTCCCCGCACCAGCCTCATGCCAAAGCATAGCCCACCTGGCGTGGTTGCAGCGGCCGGAGCCCCTTGCCGATTCTCGTCTTGTGGCATAAGAGAGGAGGGCCGACGTTGGGCACAAGGGGGCCCTGCGGCCCTTGTGCTCGAATGCTATCACGCCCTGGCACGGTCTTGGTGGGCAGGTTGACGTGCTTTTTCCATCCACACAACGAGGCTCGAGAGCCTTCGTGTCGAGAACTGTCGCATTCACGCTCGCCCACCAGTCGCACTTGATAATAATAATAATATTCTTCCTATTCTCCCGGGGCTTTTGCACACAGACACTATAGTAGAGCCGAAGCCTTCAAGATGCGCAAGATGTGGTCAAGAAGTCGCGCGCATCAGGCGTTAACGGTTCAAATTTATGGTTATCCCGAACCCTGAGGAGCCAGACCCACTGAGTCGCGTGTTGTGAAGGGGAGTTTGTCTGCGAACATGCAAAATAACGGATCACAATTTTATCTGACATTGAATTTTCTTCTCCTTTTTCAGTCATCACAGTCAAGCGTTAAGCATGTGTCAACAACGGCTCAACGAGGTGGTTTCCTGTGAGGAGCTGATCCGAGAGCATGATCATTTCGCGACCCAATTTCTGGCCGACCCGCCGCAGGAGAGTCAGCTCTGGGTATGTGATGCCACCAACAATTACGACAAGAATGCGCTTGGTACGCGGAGGTGGGCCATCCGAAGGGGGAGACCATCGCATCAGATTGATGGTGCCATCAGCCAGCATCTTCTCGTGCTCGGCCGTGAGCTTCTCCTCCAAGATATCGCTCACGATCCGCGGAATCATGGGTTGCGCACCTCCAAACAGCAGCTGTTCCTCATCCTCATTTTCGGGCAGCACAGTTGGCCACTTGTCGCGTAGGTCACGCCAGCGTGCACCAAAACGCCCTGCCTGCTCGTGTCGGAGAAGAGGAAGCACAATCAACGGTGATGACCACCAAACGCAGAGAAACAAAAAGATGCAGAGGATGAGGCTTTCAAAGCACGCAAGAAAAGGGCGAGTATCCAAGCGTTGGTCACGCCTCGAATCAAAGACACACCCGCTCGATCCCAGCAGCCTCCATAAACTCAAACATGGCAATGTAGTCAAAGCCATAGCCATGGTAAAATGCCACTTTGAGGCGCTCCCATTCACGCGGGGCCAAGTCGGCATAGCAAATCCTAGATCCGTGACGAGGTGACATTGGGTCAGAATGCGAGGTCAGGGGGCAGTGAAACCGACAAAAAAAAAAACATTACCGGGGCGCGTTTGGGGACTACAATGCCAGCTTTTAGAATCAAATAGAAATTAGACGAGAACTTGCCTCAAGAGCATCAGGAGGCGTAACACCACTCGCTTGTCATATTGCCTGAAAATGAGCTCCTCAATCGTTTCTATGGCTCCTGTTGTGCATTCAAACAGGCGGCCAGCCAGAATGGCACATTCCGCATCCATGGCCTGTAAAAAGACATCAGTGGACTTGAGCTTGTTGACTTGGCCCATGAGCGAGAGATGCGCCGTCAATGATTGTTCATGTTCCTGCAGGGTCCAATCAAGAGCTCGGCATGAGAGGTGACTCATTGCTTATTGCTCGTGATGCTGATGAGACGCGTGGCTCATGACGCCGGCCGCGCTCGTCGATGGTTCTTTTCAGAGGCAGCTGGCGCCTCTGTGCACTGACCTTGATGCCACGCAGCTCGGAGGTTATCTTCTTCATGGCCTCCACTGACACATGGGTAAGCATTAGCCCATATGAGGGAAAGCACATTTCAGGAGAAGCACCTCTCAGTTGGTTGGATGAAATGTTCCACCAGCTAGCTAAATCGGGGTAAACTCACGGTTGTTGGCGTCTAGTTGAGATGTATCAGAGTCACGCGCGTAGCGGGCAATGTGGCTCTTGCAAGCCGGGGCTGCTGCGCCGTAGTTCCGATCACGCAGCTCCTTGTAGAACTCGTCCTCATGGCTATGCAGCGTCACCTACGGCGTTATACCAAGCTTAGAACTTCACACATCGCGCCCAGAGGCACAGATTTGATCACAAGTCTTGAATGCCCCACCAACCTTGCTCAAGGGGCCTTCCGGATCTAATGTACGACTTGAGACGATGCCGGCATGGACACCACAGGTTTCCGCCAGTAGCCCAGGGTAGGAGAGTTGAGTACACAGTGGGGTGATCATATCGCAAGTGCGGTCCAGCAGCACAACTTGATCAAAGGAGCCTTCAGGAGGCGCGCGACGGTGCATAGGCACGGCACTCAAGGAGACTGAGGACTCGTAAAGCTTGAGGATGGCGGCACTGAGAGGGCCCAGTGCTGCCAGCTGCGGGAGGGGCCCGTAGACAAAATGGAGCCGAAGCAGCGCCTGGTGCAAGTATCCCACTACGGACCAATCACCCTGAAGGTGCGTCTGATAGCATGACCGCCCCAGCCCCAGGCTCCAGGCATCGTTGTCAATGCTCATAAGGGATAGCTCACAGCTCCGACTCTCCACCAAGCCGTACACACCCTCCGACTCCCACACCATATCGGAAAGAGTATCAGCACAGGGAACCTGCCAGACATGCGCCCAGATTCGCGGCGGCGCATCCAGTCCTCGCTCGTGGCTGAAATGCCGAATGTGCTTGGCAATGCGCCGCAAGGTTGCTGCGTCGTTCTGACATATGTAGACAAGGCTATGGGGCGGGCAGCGCAAAAGAGGCTGAGGGCGGCTGGGGGATCCATGGATCGATGGTGGTCTCACAAGCAAGGTATGCAAGATCGCAAGCTTGGTGCGCAGAGGAAAAAAAAAAGCAGAGCTGGGGGGACTGAGGACGCCGAGGGAAGGACAGACCCGACTTTGCGCACCTGTGATCTTCCTTGAAGGGGGGTGGATTGTCGTCGAGGCTGTAGTAAGGGATGCGCACGCCGTGCTCCTACCAGTTGTGGACCACACCCAGACGCTCAGTTTGACGCACTCCGAACCGGCCATCGGCTTGTGGCACATTGGAAAGACACACAGCCGATGCAAAAGAACTTGCCTGTAGCATCTTGCCACCGCAAATGCGCTGCAGGGGATTGAGGAGTCTGGAGTCGATGCATAACATCTTGCGTGTTTGTGGCAGTTGGTCAAGCGCGTCCGCGATGTCGTTCGCGTTGGCCACCACCACGTTGCTCACGTTGAACTTGGCCATGGTGGCGGGTAGTCGTGATTCCTCGCCAAAACCCTTTCGTGCCTTCCAGCCACTTGTTCCCTGCCGCCAAGAAGCTAGCCAACCCTCGATACCATCAAAGGAACCACCCGCTCCTCATCAGCGTCGTCGCCACGTCGTCGTCTGCTTGTCTGAAACTGCTCCTGGCATCGCACACTAATACACACGTATTCTCGATGTTCAACATTTGTCTTACAATATTTGTCTTACAATCGATGCTTTGTTACATGCTTGTTGTGAGCTTGTTGACATGTTGATGTTTTTTTTTTTTTGGTGGCGAGGGGGGCGAGGCAGGCGAGGTCGTGCTGAAGTGCTGCTCATCATAGGGCAGCAAGGTTCCATTCATGTACTGGCAATCATGCTCTTGCTTGGCACTCGCCATGGTGGTTCTAAAGGAAGCCAGCACAGGCTGGCACTGACGGCAGTGGGGTTGATGGCCCTGCTAGGCTGTGCCACAATCGTACCAGTGTCAGCCATGGTTGATTCGTGTAGTGCTCAGCCCGTTACGGTGAGATTCATACGTTAAAGCGAATGTTGTCTTCTTGACCCCTGGTATGAGCAACTGCCGGCCTTGGAATTATGTGTGTCGTGCCATTTGCATTCTCGTGCTGGTGTAGGGCCTTTGCATCGACGGTAGTTGGGTTCAGGTCTACAATCGCACCAACTTTGGTGATTGTTGCGAGCATTGCATGCTCAATGCCGGCTGCGAGGCCTTTGAACTCATTCCCGACGCGAGCGACCAAAGCTCTACTTGCTATCTCAAGCGTGGCTGGGTGAACGTGACCAACCCCAACGTATGATTCGACCCTCAAAGACAGATACACTGACATACAGATACACAGACTACGCACTAAAACACAATCTCAGGCGTGCACGCCCACGACCTGGCCAAAGTTGAGCGCCAAGTTATGAACCGACTCATGCCTTGCAAGCAGCGGACTGACTGTACCGTAGGATATGTCAAAGGCCTCAACATTCCATCACCATCACTGCCCCCACGACCACCGATTAAGGTCGCCCCAACAGGCGCCAAGAACATTCTCTTTATTCCGGTATGGCTCGAATGATCCCTCAAGCTTTCCACCCTATGTTTTCTAGCATGCGCAGCAACGCTGGGCTCAAAATTTGACCATTCCCTTTAGGTGGATGACATGCGTCCTAGCATTGGAACCTACAATTTTTCCTTGGTCCATACCCCTAACATGGATCGCTTGGCGACACAAGGACTTCGCTTTGACAACGCCTATGTTCAATATGCGTATTGTGCGCCAAGTCGCAACAGCTTCATGAGTGGCCGGCGCCCTGACACAACCAAGGTACCTGTTCAACGTTTGCATTTGTCGAGCTCAAACAGCTTGGACCGAGATAACACGAGCCAACACCCGCGCGTACGTGCATGTCAATAAATCAACACCGTCACGCCATTAGGTTTGGAATTTTATTAATCATTTTCGCCAGCACGACGTGGGTGCTTCTTGGTTTTCATTGCCCGAGTATTTCAAGCAGAACGGCTACCTGGCTCTCGGTGGCGGCAAACTCTATCATCCCAATGTACCTCCTCAAAATGATTTTCCTTACTCCTGGACGCCTGAATATCCCTATTATCCCAATGAGCCAGCCAACTTGAATCACACCTGCCTTGAGCAATTTCCTTCCAACGATCTCACCTATTGTGTCGCTGACGTGGATAAGGATGACGTTATCCTTGAAGACCAGGTACGCTGTATGTGCTTAGCTCTCCAGCAAGAGCAGAGGTGATAAACTTCAACTATCGCGGAGGTGATGCCTTTCAACCTGCGCTAGACGGATGCAGCTCACTGTCGTCTTGGTAGCAAATTATGAGCAATTGTCTGGCGCATCTTCAAATTGCCAAGAATGAGAGTGGCAATCGACCATTCTTCATTGGTTGCGGCCTTCACAAGCCCCATGTGAGACATCAAGACCTGTCGTTAGGTGTCATAGCCACTGTCATAGTCGCAACGGTCGAGGCAACAGTGGCACAGTCTGTTGCATTTTCTTGATGGCGTGACCCTCTTTCTTTCACATGCTATTGCAGGTGCCTTGGATTGTTCCCAAGGCATTTTTCGACATGATCCCGCCCTGGGAGGAAGTACCAGCCGCTTTGGACCCCTGGGCACCTGTTGACATGCCACTGGTGCGCTTGAGTTGTTTGTCGTGTTTTCGTCGCGGTGGTTGCTTCTCCTGAGTACATTGGCAACGACTCACATTTCTCTTTTGTGTCACGCTGGTACTTGTGGCTAACGATCAACCTGAATGCTTCAGCCTGCATGGCATCCGGCTGCCGATGTACACGGGCTTTCCTATGGGTTCAATGGTACTTGCAACGAGACCATTAGCAAGTGGTACCGCCGAGCCTACTATGCCGCTGTGAGCTATCAAGACTACAATATCGGCAAGGTCGGTCTTTTAATCTGACGTGGAATGGGGAGATTTTTTCGAGCCGTTTCTCACAAGATTTTATAGCTGCTGCAAGCGCTCGATGACAGCGGCCTGGCCAATGACACAATTGTTGTCGTTTTTGGAGACCACGGTCCGTCCTCTTGTGACCACGTCTATGCATGCACGGGTTTAGCCGCTGCTTCATTCTTTGCATTCTAACATACTATGGGGCCATGACTATTGTCGCGCCACACTCACTGGCAGGATGGCAACTGGGCGAGCATGACACGTGGGCCAAAATGACCAAGTAATGATCTCGCCATCTATCTCGCTGGATCTGGGAACTGTGGAACCTTATGCCGCACAAACACGCCAATAGCTTTGAGCTAGCAACCCATATCCCCTTGATCATCCGTGCCCCTTTCAAGACCAACAGCACGGGCAAAAATACCCGAGTACTGGCCGAAATGGTGGACATTTATCCTACGCTGGCCGAGTTAGCAGGTAAGCAAGGCGTACTTTTGCAGTTGGCGTTTTTTCATGCCTTTTGAAGTTCCTTCATTTAGTTGGGCTCGTGATGGCAATGTGGTTGTCCGTTCCGACGCCGATGGGCATCATCGACAGGACTCCCGGCCCCACAGGAGCAAGGGCAAGACTTGAATGGCACATCTTTGGCAACTATTTTTGATGATCCATCACAGATGAACCTGAAACCAGCAGCTTTCTCCCAATTCGGCAAGGTGGGGGTCTGCAAGTTTTTCATGGCTTTGCATCCATGTTTTTGAATGTCGCAATACAGGGCTTTCCTTTTCCTCTCACTCGGGTGCTTGGCGAGGTGAAGATATCAAACTTTAGCGTTACTTCCGTCTTTTTACGCAACAGCACGGAGATCATGGGGTGAGACCATACGCTGCTATGATGTGAAAAAGAACCCTCTTGAGAATCAAGAGATACTGGACTGACACGGCATGCTTTGTATTCGAACAGATACACCATTCGTGTGCGTGACTGGCGTTATACCTGCTGGTTTGGCTTTGACAACGAAACTGTGTCTGTGCGTCGAACGGATATATTGGGCCGGGAGCTCTACGATCATCGCGGTGAGAATCGACTGGAACGTTAAGCGCCAAGAGATATCGTGCATCTGTTCACTTATTCATTCGCCTTGCAGGTGATATGGGCTTGTATCTCGACTGGCCCGGCGAGAATATCAATGTGGTTGATTACGAGGAGCATGCCGAGGTTGTAGCGCAGCTTCACCAGCAACTTTTGGACTATATACGACTGTGATCGGCTGTGTTCAAACCAGGGACCAGCGCCCTCGCCACATCGAAAAGAAAGAATGGCAAACAAACTGGTTGATGGGGATGTCTCGAAATTGCCACAATACAAATGTCAGACAAAGCTTAACGTTACGACAATGTGTTCAACCACGAAATCTTGTTTGAAGGCGATCCTTGCAAAAGAGGGGCGGGTGGCTTGACTGCTAGCTGCATTGTTTTTGAAGTACAAGTGGCAATCATGGTGGCTGTGAGAGAACCGGGCCGGGTGGCACTGCCGGGGCTGGGGCATGGGCCTTGGCTAGCTATGTTACTGCTTGTCTCTTTGGTTGGGGTTGCACAAGGTATGGTTCAGTGATAAAGGCGGCCCCTGCACGATATCGGTCGCACAATCTCACACGTTTCCTGACGTTGACGTTGGGCAGGACAAATCCAATGGATTCCGTTGCAGCTGGAAGAGGGGTTTGCTGCACGGGCAGGCTACATGCAGCCCGAGTACGCCCTCGACGGTGATCGCGTGTATCTACGTGGTGATATCGAGGTAAATGCGTCTCAGAGCTTTCATCGTCATGCGCCCCAGCGCTGGGCCCAGCTGGGCACGCGCGGTCCCCTGGCGCAGTGGCCCGTGCCCATGCTTGAATGTCATGCCGAACCCACTACACTGCATCGTGTTATAGATTGTCGATGCGACCAAATCCGTCATCACCATTCTGACCGACCATGCTCCTGAAGCTGCGCTGGCCTTCACCGCTCCGACTTCTGACACCATTTATTCACATCGGTCCGTATCCCAAAGCATGCGAACATGCGGGGGGGAAAGGAAGAAGAAGGATAAACCCAGACGAAACCCAGACTGGGGAAAAAAGTCGTTGATGGCGTCTTTGCATGCAAACATGCCCAGACACAATTGCCCCACCAAAGGTGACTAATCTTCGGAAGCACCACAAACACTCACCTTCACCCTGAATGGATGGCAGTGTGGATGTTCGCGTGAGCGGACAAGTGGCCATCACGGCTCAAGTCCCAGGATCGACCTACTTCTCGCTCAATCGCATCATCTATTCGGTAGCGCCTCAAAACGGTGGAGATAGTGTCAATGGCATGTCAGTTTCCCACAATGTCGCTGGGAAAACGCAGCTGGCAACACCAAGCCATGAACACCGTGCTGATGACTCGACGATGGGGATCTGATGTATCACTAGGTTCCAGACAATGTCCATGGCCACAGACGCATCAGCCAACGGCAACGGGTGGACGGTGCGTTGACCGGTGCCCAACCACAGCTGCTGCGCACTTGCCCGTCCCCCCGCCTTTTTTTTAATTTTTTTTTTTTTTGTTGTTGTTGTGTGCTGTGAGGACGGTGCGGTGGTGTAGCTTACTCACGACCAAGTGCCTGTGCCAAAATGGATGGTCAAACTGGTTGCTGAATGCCTGCAGATACCACAATGCCGCTTGTCAACGGATAACGTTGTCGAGTGTCGAGGCCTCGTTCGCCGCAACTCTCTTGGCACTTTGTTCACCTTGCCGGCAGGTCAGAAAAGCAATGGTCTCGCCCCCGTCGTATCGCCATTGACCTCATTGGTACTGACTGCCCATCGCTATGGCTTGCAGGAATGAGACCCGCCATGGACCTGTCCTTTCCGACCGTATCCCATCAGTCATACGAAACCTGTCGCATCGACGTGTCTCCTTCTGGAGCTGTCTCTAAAGCTTCTCAGACCGGCATCCTCTCAGGCTACGCCAGTCTGGATGGTATTCGTTTTGCGGTAGGCTATGGTTTGCATGTCCTTTCTCAGAGGTTTATCGCCGACCACCCATCTGTTCATGCATGCTCACCTCGATGGTATCTTTTGGCATGGCCCGGTGTGGCCACCAGCTGGTCCGAACTGGCATGACGCTAGGTTCCAACTACGTGAATAACGGTGGATCATGGTCCACGGTGGCTCTGACCCTGGATCGGTTTGGTGTTTTGGTCTCTGGTGAGCTCGATAACTTTGACGAGTTTTTGCATGGCTGCCGTCTGTTGGATACCGTCGTATCGGGCCATGCAATACCTTGTTGTTGTTGGGTTCTGTGTCAACCACCAGATCGTGCATGGGAACTCATGGGATGTTTCTTGTGGGACTGCAGGTTTGGCAAGGCGGTCCAGTGGCAACGTCGTCGGCGGGGAAACAATTGCCATTCTACCCGAGGGCTACCGCCCCTCCCGCCGAACCCTGAGTCAGGGCATTGCTCACACCAGCGGCCATGCCCGCACCTACATCATCAATACCGACGGTGTGTGTGTGTGTGTGTGTGTGTGTGTGCGCGCGCGCGCGCCCGCTCTTCCTGTTCGACACGAAGAGTTCTTGGCTGACATCGTTGGGGGTGTTTCTGTCAATCCAATAGGCAGTATTGTGGCCTCCTCTTCAGCAGCCAGCAGTACCTACGCTGAGTTGGACGGCATCTATGTCTCACTTGAAAACCCCATTGCCGCTGGATCCATGTCCCTTCCAACGTCTGCAGCCTGGACAGCTGCCGCGGATGGTGGTGCCAGTCCACGCCTTTACGTGATCCCGATCACGGTGGGAGGCGTGTCTGTCTCGCGCATTCGGTTGGAAGGTAGTCTGACGGTGGTTGATGGAGCCTCGGCGGCAGAACAGCCAGACGTGGCCTACATTCCTTCGGGCTATCGGCCCCCGCTTCGAGTCGCTTATATGGCGGCTGGTGACTCGGGCTCTGGTCCAGATTACAATCGCATCGACGTTCGGCTCGAGGGCCACGTGTATGTGGCCGAGGACTCCACGACCACGACGTCGGCCCGCTTGGACAGCATGGAATTTTCTGCAAGCAACGTTGGGTGGACCAACGTATCAACTTATGCCGATGGATTTGTCGCGCATGGTGGGAGCAACTGGGAGTACCCGAGCTACCTGGTGGCGGATGATGGCTGGGTGTACTTGCGCGGCTTGGCTCGATGCTCGACAGGACCCATTGCAGTCAACATGCTCATCATGACGCTGCCTTCCAATGCTCGACCGACCAAGGTGATGACGTTTGCCACCATTTCACACGACAACGAGGTGGCAATCCAGCTGGAGATCCAGCCTTCGGGGGCTGTCTACAGCCGTAGCAGCTCGTCTGAAGGATATGTGTCGCTGGATGGAGCGTTTTTCCAAAACGGCGCCAATGTCGAGTGGCACTCGCTCTTGGATACGCTGCCTGCCAGCTTGCACGAAGTGTTTGTGGCGGCTGACACGACCATGTACCATGAGCCAGCCTATGGGCTGCGTGGGGACACGGTGGTGCTGCGTGGCCGTGTGCGTCGGGCAACGACGGTGGACTCGGACAAGGCGGCCATCCTGGGATATTTGCCAAGCAACATGCGACCGGAAAGCACGATGAGCTTTGCAGTCTCGTCCATATCGGGAGCGCGCATGCACCAAATCCTGGTGCTGACGACCGGGCAGGTAGTGTTGGATACGGAGAATGCAGACCCACTGATCAGCTTGGATGGGATTGCGTTTCAGCGTTTGGTTGGGGATGAAGTCTTTGGCAACTGGCGCATGGGCGTTGTGAGCAACAACAACCTGGCCTTGCTGGCCACGAATACGGGTACGTTGGTGCGGAGGGAGGGGGTGGGGGGTGAGGGGTGAATTTGGTGGATGGATCGGCATGTCAACAATGGTCTGATGATTTGTTGTGTGTTGATTCTGTACTGGCTATTTTAGCGGCCGGCGTGTTTACCGAGGATCGCGTGCGGGTGACAATCAACAACGGGGCTGCTGGTAGCGAGTGGTCTCATGTGACGCCCATGACACGCGGGGTGCGCCAGCTGGGCAATTGGCGCATTGGGCCGCACAACGCAGACCACTTTGTAATTTCGTAAGTGAATGGACGCTGGTGTTTGATGGATGGTGGTGAGGCAGCGGGGTGATGGCCGAGCAGGCAAAGGGTTTGGCGAAAAAGAAAAAGACGTTGCGACTACTGGCGCGATCGGTTGAAGATTGAATGTCAAGTTGTTGTAACGACGGGTGTCTGGGCTGGTAGGCACACTTCCACCGACAACGGGGCAGGGTCACCCGCCATGCTGTGGCGAAACGATGGTGCTCTGTTTGCCAACCGTGCGGGCAATTCAGACGGGCTCGTGACCCCACTGGATGGGACCTCGGACTGCTATCAAGCCGGGGACTGGGTGATGGGCCCACATCCTGATAACGGCAACATCTTTGTGATTAACCGCCTGGGATCCCTGCGAGTTTCAATGGCCATTTACAGCAACGGTGCGGTGTATACAGCCAGCTTGGAGGTACGAGGATGCTTGGCGTTGGAACCAGGAGGGGGGAATGGGCCCCTGGGGTCTGAGAGACAAGCGTGCGCGTTTCGAGGCAGGACTTGACGGTTTCACTCGGGCTGCTGTTGTTGTTGTTCTTGTGGGGTCAACTAGTTGGTGAATGCAAGCTATCTGGCATCCATCAAGCACGACATTGATGCAGGGCCGACCTATTTCGGAACGTATGACGGGACCTACGATACCCTGGAGCTAGGCAGTTGGACGCTGGGAACGCGCAATGCGTACAGCTTTATCATGAATCCAAAGGGCGCCGTGCGCCCAGCGGCCGTTGTGACCAGCGACTACCGCTTCATTACGGGGGCCTATGCCAATGCCGCGGCCAGCGGAGATTTGTGCCACACGGCGGCCAGTGCGTCGGTTCTGCGACTAGGGGACTTTTTCTTTGGTCCAAAGAGCGATACATACTTTGTGATCAACCAAGTCGGCGCATCGGTTCCGCAGCTTGTGATTTCATCGGGTGGCACGTTTTATCTGAGTGGTGGAGATTTCAACAACCCAGCACCAGCGTCTTGGGCGTTGACGACATCGGATGCGGACGTGATTCGAATCGGAGACTGGTTGGTAGGACAGAAGAGTGCGGATCACTTTGTCATCAATCGCATTGGAGCATCATTGCCTCAGTTTCTGCTGCGCCAGGACGGTCACATCTGGATTGGCAGCAACGTGATGACACCGCCGACGACGTTGATGTTGGCGCCGGAGTACTGTGTCACATCTGATGAGCAGACGCTGGCATCGCTGTCTCTGGACAGCGAATGGCTGGTGGGTGTCAAGTCCGAGCAATTTGTTGTGAGCCATGCGCATGCTGCATACCCAAACCTGGTGCTGTCGGACAGCGAGGTGTTATGGAATAGCTGGGTGGCAGAGGCGTTGCCGGCATATGGACTGGCCACCGCGGACAGCGGCGTGATTGCGGTTGGCGAGTGGCTGGTGGGTGTCAAGGATGGGGCGTTTGTGATCAACACAAAGACGCAAGCCGAGTTTTGGCCTCAGTTTGTGGCGTTGCGTGATATGACACTGCGGTTTGCGGGGGCCTCGTCACAAGCGGCGGTCTCGTATAGTTTGGACGGCACGGCGACGAACAAGGTATGGGGTGTGCTGAGCGAGACGGATGTATGGGCTGTGTGGGCTCCAACGATGATGCGCGTTGCTTATGCTGGGTGGGTACTAGATTGTCATTGGTGACTGGCTCATTGCCAGTGATAGCGCATCGACGCTGGTCATTTTGCCGGCGGATGCCAAGGCTCGGGGAATTGGACCCACACTTATGATCCGGTATGACCGAGAGGCAGGCTTGATGAATGTGGCGTTGGCTTGCGGCAGTGGTGAAATGGTTCAACTGCAAGGGAGAGAAGGGTGGCTTCTGCTGCATCAATGGCACTTACGAATGGTGCGCTTGTCTGGTTTGTTGACGGGAATGGATCGAAACAGGTCGGATGGAGTCGTGTTTCGTGCAAGCACACACTCGTGGGCCAACCAGCAGTTTGCCTGTAGCCTGGTGCCCGAGTGTGATGGGGAGGCGTACTACTCGTACGACAACGCGGGTGACCGTACGTGCACAGATTGGACCGTTTGTCAGCTGGGCGAGTACGTTTCGACGGCCGGCACTAGCACCTCAGACCGAGCTTGCTCTGCGGTACGTGGCGCGGATGCAAGGGTGTTATCTGGATGGCGGGTTTGATTGGTTGCGCGAGTGGGTGGTGATGGGTAGCGTTTGAAATGAGGTAGCGTTTGAAGTGAGACCTAACGGTGTGCGTGCTCGAATTGTAGTGTGGGGCGGGTCTTTTTGCTGACGAGTTGAACATGGAGGCGTGCTCGGCCTATTCCGCTTGTACGGCAGCCGTGACGTATGAGGTGAAGGCGCCTAGTTCAACCAACGATCGGGTACGCCCTATTGGTGCACGCGTTTTGTGTTTGTGTTTGTGTTTGTGTGTGGAGCCTGCGTGATGGTGGGGGAGGGGAAACTTGACGGGCTGGCGGCATCAGGAACCTAACGATAAGATGCCCCATTGCGGTGGTATGAGGATAGGAGTGTACGAGCTGCTCCGTGTGCCCGAGTGGTCACTATGTGACAGAAGCATGTACGGTGACCGAGGACACGACGTGCAGTGGCTGCGATGCGTGTGATCCAACCGGAGCCAATCCGGAAACGCTTCAGACCAGTTGCACTTCAACGAGCAACACGGTGTGCCAGGCATGCACTGTGTGCGGTACTGGCCAATATCGGTTTGCGGCCTGTACAGCCACGACACAGACGGAGTGCCGCGCAGTGAGTGCGTGCACTGACCAGCAGTATGAGGTGGCAGCGCCGACGGCAACGACAGATCGCCAATGCCAAGACTTGCGTACATGCACTGCTGGGCAGGAGGAGGATGTGGCGGCAACCGCGACGTCAGACCGAACGTGCAAGCCTTGTGATGCAGGCATGACGGACGACGATCTTGATTGGAAGACGGACTGTGTGGCGTGTGAGGGTGGAACATATGTGCCAAGCGGCTCGCAGGGGACCTGCGACACGTTTTTGTGCGCAGCGGGGACGACAGACTCGGAAAACGATGCGGCACAAGCATGTACAGCTTGCAACGGAGTGGACGAGTACACGAGCGCGGCGGGTAACGTTGGTGCATGTACGAGCATGACCAACTGTGAAGCTGGGTCATATGTGGTGACGATGGGGACGCCGAGTTCGGATCGGGACTGCGGAGCCTGTGGAGCCAATAGCTACTCGGACAATAGCAATCTGGTAGGTTGTTTGTTGGAAGGTGGTGTTAGGGGTTGGTTTTGACCGACTGACCATGTGTATGTGGGTGTGTGTGTGTGTATGTGGAGTATGGTGGGGCAAGTTTGTTTATTGATGCATTGGCCGCTGGCTGGTGGTGAGGATGATGAGATTGTTCGTGCTGATGCTCATGCTGATGCTCGTGCTCATGTGGTGGGGGCTTTAGGGGGCTTGTATAACGTGTTCGGAATGTGGAGCGAACCAGTTTGTATCGCGCAACTGCACCAGTCAGATGGATACAGCGTGCCAGAGCTGCTCGGTGTGCGATGCAACGGGGCCAACGCCGAGAACGCTGGCTCGCGCATGCAGCACTTATATCGACACGGTAGGTGGGAAGCTGCATGATGTTGGAGCGTGTTCAGCTCTGCGCAAAGGTGGCAACGTGGGCAGGAAGGACTGAGAAGGGTCCGGAGGAGGAGCAAATGGGGCACATTGTTTGAACCATGTCCTCATCAAATGGGATGGTGTGTGTGTGTGCATGTGTGTGTGTGTTTTGGATAGCAATGTGAGGCTTGTGTTCAGTGCCCAAGTACGCACTGGCAATCGGCGGCATGCAGCCCGACAGCACAGACCACATGCACCATGTTGACGACTTGCGAGAGTTGGGAGTACGAGTCGGTGGCGGCGACGGCAACCACAGATCGGCAATGCAGAAATGCCACGGTGTGCGAGGCAGGCTATGAGGTGGCCAGCGCACTCCAGGCGAATGTTGACCGCACCTGCCGGCCGTGCAGGGCGGGGTACACTGATGATGATCTGAACGGAATGACACCGTGTGTACCGTGTGGGTCGGGGCATTATGTGCCTACGAACTCGCAAGGCAGCTGTGATTTGTTTCGATGTGCACCGGGCTCGACAGATGATGACAACAATGCGTCGACGTCTTGTGCCCCATGTGATGGGACAACAGGATTCCGGAGCGAGGCGGGGGCCTCGGGGGCCTGTACGCCAGTGTCAGATTGTACATTGGTATCGTGTGACGGCATCTTCGACCCCCTCATCGAATCGGCAGTGTATGGCGTGCGAGGAGGGCACCTTTGCGGATGGGATCAATGCGGTGCGGTGCGGTGGCGTCGACGTTGTGGATGTTGTGGATGCTGTGGATGCTGTGGATGTTGTGGATGTTGTATTGATTGATGTTTGTGTGGTCATGTTTTTGCTTGTTGCCAATGCGCGGGATGAACTCATATGGGAGTGTGGCTTGTTCGCTGCTTTTCTGTTGCAATTGCGCCGGTGCCGGTTGATAGGCATCATGTGCAAGCTGCACGGTTTGCGAGGGATCGCGATACGCGCTGAGCGAGTGCACGGCGCGAGCCGACACGGTATGGATTGTGGCAGGATGTTGTGCCGTGTGGGCACGGACGTTGACTGAGGTTTGGTTTGATGATGGTTTGAGTGCGGCATGTGTTTGGTGTGTAATAGGTGTGCTCGGGTTGTCAAGTGTGTGATGCAACTGCCAATCCTCCACTAACGCTGCAGACGCAGTGCACGGCCACGGAGGATTCGGTAAGGGGGCTGGGCGTTGATGGTGTAGCCTTTGTTGGGGGCATTGGCTGAGAGATGCATGTTGCAAGAGGCGTCGCGCAATGATGACTCATCTTGGCTGGTGACGGGTGACTGGTGACTGGGGGCGGGACGGGACGGGTTGTTTGTTTTGTCGTTGTCGTTGTCGTTGTTTGTTGCCGTTGTCGTTGTTTGTTGTGTTTGTGTTTGTGTTTGCGTGGTCTCTTCTGCGTTTTCCCGGTGCATAACCATGTAGGTATGCGAGGAGTGCAACACATGCGATATCGGGGAGTGGCGGTCAAACGCCTGTACTTCGACGCGGCAGACGGAATGCCAGAGTGTGAGCGTGTGCGCGGAATATCAGTTTGCGACGCGCGAGGCAACAGCGACGACGGACCGACTGTGTCAGAATGCGACGATTTGCACGCGCGGGCAGGAGGTGGATGTCGCGTTGGGTACGGACACGGATCGCAGCTGCCGACTGTGTGCACCGGGGAGCGTGGACGAAGATAGCAATGGCTTGACAGCTTGCGTGGCATGTGGCCCTGGGACCTTTGTGCCCGAGGGTAGCTATGGCCCGTGTGAGGCGTTTGTGTGTGCGGCCGGAACGACGGATCACGACAACCAGTCATCTACGGCGTGTGTGGCCTGTGTTGTGGGTGAAGGCTATACGGCGGGGTCTGGTCATAGTGGGGTGTGCACGGCCACGCAGATGTGTGAGGCTGGGACATATGTGGCTATGGCAGCCACGGTGACGAGCGATCGCGTCTGCAGTGCGTGTGAGACGGGGTACACGACGGGCAGCAATGCGGGAGCCTGCCAAGACTGGACGACGTGCAAGGCGACGCAGATTATCAAGGTCGAAGGCAATGCCACGTCTGATCGTGTGTGCGGTTGCGAGGTATGTGTGTGTGTGTGTGTGTGTGTGTGTGTGTGTGTGTGTGTGTGTGTGTGTGTGTGTGTGTGTGTGTGTGTGTGTGTGTGTGTGTGTGCCTGGATCGAATCAGACGCTTATGCTGGGACTGACGACTTTTGGTGGGCGACTGCAGGACAACTTTTACTACGCGGCCGAGAGTGACACTTGTGTTCAGTGCAACAGCAGGTAGATGGCCTTGGGTTTGGTGTAGAACATCTGCAAACGCAAATGGCGGGCAGTCTGAACTTTTCTTTGTTGTCTGATTTCCCCCATGTCTTAACAGCCCTTGTTCTTTCTCGCATTGGCTGTATGTCGTAGCTGCCCTGTCAACATGTACATGGCCGCCGAGTGTCGTGTCAACCAGGTGAGTGCAGTTTGAAGCGGGGAGGCGCCCGCCATCTGTGGTGGCGTGTCTGACTCACGCACGGCCTTGTTGCTATTCATGGTGGGATGTGAAGGACATTTCATGCTTGGAGGTGACACTGTGTCCGGCGGGCGCGGAGGAGGTGACTGGTCCTACTGCTAGCAGCGATCGTGTTTGTTCGGCGTGCACGGTGCGTTTGTGCGGCGCTTGGCTTGTCTTGCTTGATTTGAGGGGGATTATGCGAGAGACCGGATGCACGCAGGGCTCAAGGTGTTTTAAACGTGTTTGCGTCGACATGCTTTGCAGACTGGCACATTCAAGGTGTTGGAGGACACGCGTGAGTTGACAGGGTCGTGTGTTGCCAAAAGCACATGCGGGGACTATGACTATGAGTTGACGGGTGCCACGCGGACGAGCGACACGGTTTGTGCGCCGTTGTTGACAACGAACTTGGAGCTGCACCCTGGGGTTGAGCTGGACACGGTCGCGGATGAGCAAGACTTTGTAGATCGGATTATCCAGGCCGCGGGTACTGACGCCGGGTACGTGTGTCAGTGTGTCAGTGTGTCAGTGTGTCAGTGTGTCAGTGTGTGTGTGTGTGTGTGTGTCTGTCTGTGTGTCTGTCTGTCTGTGTCTGCCTCACCGGCCTTTTTTTTTTCTGCGGATGTAGCATCGAACGGGTTCTGCTGCTGAACGGACAACGACGAGCGACGACCTACACGTCCGCTGTAGCCCTGTTTCGCTCACGCACCAGGGCTAATGCATTTGAAGCACGCTTGCCGTTGTCTGTGGAGTTTCACTCGTCTACAGTCTCGGTGAGTCTTAGGTTTTCCCCGTGGTTTGCGTGACGGCTGGACGGTCCGCTGAGTGCTGGGTATAGAAAGGAATGAGGCAAGGGGAGATTGGGGAATCGAATGCGGAATGCGTCCTGTTTTTGCTCACGGTAGTGTGGTTCCGGGGGGTGTGGGACCCTGTGTGGCTTGCGTTAGGTATACAGCGAGGGGCAGGCACCTGGCGGCTCGACGGCAGCTCCCTCGAGCTCCGGTTCGGGATCACCTTCATCGCTGATTCCTATCATAGTGGGCGCTGTACTGGGCGCAGTGGTGTTGGTTATGCTAAGCATCTTTGTGGTACAACGACGACGCAAGGCGCGCAAGTTGAAGGCGCGGGATCGCGATGTTGTGGCTTTTGAGAACGTGCTGGTAGGTGTGGCGGTGCTTTGTCTTGGAGCTGAACTGGCAGCTGTCCTCCAGCTTGCACGCTAGCTAGCCTGGTCTCATGCTGGAATGTTTTGGTTGCGTGGCTCATCACGACATGACAGTACGACAACACGAGCGATAGCGTCGTCCACAATCCCGTGTATAATCCCGACGATGAGACTTCCGGCCTATATGCAGAACCGACGCAAGCTGGAGTCATTGACGGGGAGTATATGGAGGCAGACACTCCCTTGGGGCCTGTCACCCGGCAAGATGACCTCGAACCTGCAGCTACACATGAAGCTGGATGTACGTCACATCATCGCTTCATCGGCTCTTTCTTCTGTCGTTGTTTCCTTCGCTTCTGCTTCCACACACAATGTGACATGAAGTTGCCTCTTTGTTTTCAGATTTGGATGTGGGCGAGAACTTTGCGCAGGATGGCTTCGGTGAGTTTGACAACGGTGATGACTTTGAGGAACCGATCGATGATAACGACGAGATCGATGATAACGACGAGTGATTCTTTGGTGTCTGAATTTGCCTCCTATTCTCCCTGGCCTCTTTTCGATCGTCAACCTCTCGGGGACATGAGAATCATGTGTCACCACACATTTCGAGGGTTGAGGACGATGCACATTTGTCCGTGAATGTTAACACGATATCAATTTAAACTTAAATCTTGAATGTTGAAGTCGCGCGATGTCGATGATGGAGATTCGGGGATGTGCGACACCTACGGAGCGGCTTTGTTACACTTGATGGGAACAAATCATGCCCTTTTATCTTCTGCCTGCGGTTCCGAAGCATTCGGCAGCGATTCTTTCTTTGTGGAGTTAGGTGTAGTTGGATAACCGCGTTTTGAAAGCGTGTCTTGTGCTGGCATCTTGGGCATTCACCTCAATGAATGACACAGCCACGGAACGACTTTGATGACAATAATCAAATGAAAAAAAAAATTAATTTTTTCAAGTTGAGAAAGAAGTGGAGAAGTTGAAAAAAAAACTAGAAGGCTCTTTCCTTCTGTGCCGTCAGGATGGACATGGGAGGCCTTTCGTCGGGCGAAGATGGCTCTGATAGCGAGGAGAAGGCAGGAGAGGCCGTTGCTTCAGTGGAAAATTCCGGTACGAATGCCAAGCTTCTTGGCTTTTGAGCGACCTTGCAAATTGAGCTCATTGCCTGCCGTATATTCATGGGCTCCAACCCTTTGTAGACACGGGTTGCGAGCATTTTGATGCAACAAACGCCAGCGAGCAGGACGATAGCGAGGAGGCAAGCTTAGAAGACTCGGATGAGTGGCAACCAGCGCCGAAGCGCTCAAAGCAGGTAAATCGTTGGACCTTGTTTTGCGCCGCTTATTATGGGTGTAGTGGCTCATGGCGTCGGCGGTTTGGCAGCTGGGCGATACACACACGCTCGACACGGATGACACTGAGGATGAGTTTGAGGACGCCGTCTATACGGGCGGCGAGAACGCCGTGGCCAGTCTCCGTGCAGCAGATGCCGTTGATTTGACTGGCCCTACACCACCAGTGGCGCGACCTTCCGGCACTATCTCCTTTACGTTGGATGCAGCCGACGATGAGAACACCGTCACCTCTCAGTCTGCCGAGGACCGGTGTGTTGCTGAGAGTGGGCGCCCGTGATTGCTCATAAACATCACATCGTGCTTCTGCGCTTCACGTTTGCTAGCCTCATGCAAGCTAACTGTTTTCAGGGCCTTTGAACTTTCGCTTGGACGCATGCAGGCGGAGCTGCAGCAACACATGCACCAAACCCACACCCTTTGCCTATTGTGGCGGTCGGCCCGGCAGCATCACGCAATCACAAGTGCAACGCTGCAAGCAAGTCTTCTATCACTCCTCCCGCGTACTCTGGCCGTGAATGACAGCCTAGATGTCAAGTCAGCCTGCGATCTATCAAAGTGGCTACGGCGCTATACGGTTATTATTCCTCCTCACGAGTCAGCGCGCATCAGCCAATCGACAGCTGCAAGCCCGATCTTAATATCCAGTGACGACGAGCCTCAAGCTGAAACGGATCAATATTCGCATCATTCGGCCTCCCTTCATGCCTGGCATCATGGTCCAATCCGTCTTGGCGGCCGGCTGTTGACCTCGTTTGAAACAGCCAGGCAAACTCCTGAACAGGCATCTCTGACTTTTACGGCACTTCTTCGTGCGCTAGGATATCGAGCTCGCTGGATATGCGCTTTGCACCCATTACCCCTCAGTGTGCCCCGAGAAAACTCCATCCTCAGTGCCCGGCGAACCCGGCGGGCTTCCGAGCCTGGCGGGCGCAACGGTGTGAAAGAGGCGCCACGCTTGTTGCCAGACCAAAGAACTGATAGTCATCCCTCTCCAAGTCCTCGCGACCGTCGAGCTGACTCCAGAGAAGGCTCACTGCGGGTTGATTCCTGGACAGAGTTTTATAATGACAATGCGAGCCAGTGGGTTCCATTGTGCTCTATCACAGGTCGGTGTTCGTCGAGCGGCTGAAGACTCATTGTCTTGAGTTGACGTCCATTAGTCTACATCTGACCCACGGCATGCACTCATAGGCCGTGCTCTTGACGAGACTCGGTTCGAGCGCGCTTGTAGCCAAGCCTTGACTTATGTTGTGGCTTTCGCGGCCGACGGGTCTGTTACCGATGTCACACGACGATATGCCACGCGGTGGCATCATCACACACGAAAACAGCGCTCCAGTGAGCGGTGGTGGCGCGCAAGCTTGGTTCCTTTTCAAGCCAGTGAATCAAAGGTTGGGTCGAACCACAAGTGGTGCTTCATTCGATCTCTACCAACTACTCACTCTTTTAGCGCAGCACACAGATCTTGCTCAGAGCTTCTGCTGCGACGCGTCTATAGGCTGAGCGTGAGCATGAAGAAGGTCAATTCAAGCGTCAAGATACTGTCGCATCTTTACCAAAGAGCTTCAAAGCCATCCAACACCACCCAGCTTACGTTTTGAAGCGCCACTTGAAGCAAAATGAGGCCCTACGACCAAACGGTATGGCTGGACCCACCCAGAGTTCGCCATCATTGACAATGGAAAGGAAGGCAAACGTCATTCAAAATGTCGACCAAAGCCCTGTCTGGGATTGGCATGTCCGGAAACTCAACTCGCCTTGTGTTGATAGCCCCAATCCTGGGTTATTGCAAGGGCGAGGCGATATATGCGCGATCCGACATTGTTGCACTGCTATCTCGCTGGCAGCTGCAGAAGATGGGTTTTGTCGTTCGCGAGAGCGAGAAGCCACTTCGAGTTGGTAAGAACTTCTTTGCAGTGTTATTGCTGTCTTGCATGTTGTTTCTCGCCCACTTTGATTTGCTCCTTGCCACCTGTAGTTCCCGCGCGTCATCGAGGGGCTGCTGGAGATGCCTCTCGAATGGATGCTGAGGATGGTCAGCCTGTTGAGCTCTTTGCTGATTATCAATTGCAGCGATTTGTTGCACCCCTAGTCGTAGATGGAACGATTCCCACTAACAAAGTACGTTTCCTGGTGCGCGCTTGCCTGTGTCAGGCGCCGACATTGGTGTGTTGTTCATGGAGAGCTTATGCACGACTAACTTGGGGTTTCTGCTGTTTATGAAAATATTTGTGGGTACAGTTTGGCACAGTGGACATGTTTCAACCTCACATGTGCCCGAAAGGTGCAACGCACATTCGAGGGGACACTAATGGCCTCGGTTCGTGCTTTTTCCTGCCTGATGATCTTAACAGACTTTGCTGCAATAAACCAACGATTTTGCTTTCTTCACAGGCAAGGTGGCAACACAATTGGGCATTCACAGCGCGCCGGCGGTCATTGATTTCCGATACACCAAAGGCCGTATGCTTCCCGTGAAAGTACGCTGTATCATTTCTTTGGACCCATTGCACCTGCTTTCGTGTCATTGTCACCTTTCTACTTGCTTTAAATTGTTTCGCTTCACACGCTCTCTCGGCGGGGTGAACATGTATTGTAATAGGACGGTGTTGTGGTAGCACAACAGCACGCCCAGCTGATACAAGAGGCATGGGCGACCATGGTGCAAGCCTCTCTCGAAGCTGAGGTCAGTTTCCAGTTCGGAACAATCGTGCTTGAATTCTATTGCTTTCGACAGAGATATACAGCGAGATGCATTGGAAGTATAGCTGTGCCTTGGCACCGACGATGGCTCACACCTATCAATGCGTAGGTCTCTGAGCGCGCTCAGCGCGCCATTGACAATTGGCGTTCCTTGCTGCGCAAGGGGCTCATTTTCTCACGCCTAAGAGAGGCGGCTGCCCGACGACAGCGATGGAACTCTGGCGCTGAAGTAGAAGAGCACACGGCAAATGACGACGAATCCTGATCAAAACGCCTCGGTTTTCGTATGTGTGTGTGTGTGCATGTGCTGCGAGGCGAGCAGCGAATCCAGACTGGAGCTGGAGTTATACCGAAAACATAGTCTTGTAGCGTTGTCGATCAGCCTTTTCCGATTCCACAAGCGCGAGCGTGATCTTGTGTTGCAAAGTTGCGATTCCCTTATCATCAGGTGCCTACCGTGTGAGCAGCAGGGATGAGTTCTAGCCTGTTGCGTGCTGAACATGGCCATTTTAACGTACCAGCTCCAGGGCAAGCTCAATATCGGCCTGAGCAAGCTCCAAGTCTCGCCCGCGCAACAAATGCGCCTATCGAAACCAACAGCATGAGTTGTTTTTCCCGAAAAAAGACAAAAACAAAACAAATCTTCCATTCCAAAAGATGATGATGATAATGATAAGAGCTCAACTCGGGCTGAGTCGGTTTACCTGTGCTCGCCGATAATAGGCTTTGGGATTGGATGTCCCTCGTTCAATGACCATCGTCGTGTGATCGATGGCATCTTTGTACTTTTTGACTTGCAGTTTGCATGCCGCCATGTTGAGCAGGGCCGCTTCGCGCAATGGCTGCAAGCTCTTCAGCTGAAAGTTCAAAGTTCGAGAGTTTGAGGTGCCATGAGTTGACAAGAAACTCAAAGAAAAGATGCTGAAAACAATTGCAAATGGTAGGCAGGCCTCACCATCTCATCTGGAATCGCTGATTCTGGCACGCGCGCACTGTTTTCGATGGTTTCGATGTGAGCCATGCATTTTTCATACGCAATAATGGCCTCAGCATAGCGCTTGCTCTTGAAGAACGTGTTTCCTTCTTCCTGTAGCCAACAGGCAAAAGTACCTCATCAGAAAGCACGCAAGGGCAACACGAAATGGAAAGGAAACAAATTGTGAGATGGCTGTTTGCTTGCCTTTTTAGCGGCTGCATCCGCCACACGCTCTTCAAGAGACATTTCCCACATATCCTTGGAAAAGGAGCCGGCTTTTTGGACACTAGCAGACAAGCAAATGACCACAATTCAAATCAATCGCCGTGACCAGACAATGAAATCAATGGCCAGCAAGGCCAAAAAGCAAACACGTACCTGAGCAATTCAATCTCAAAGATCAAGTCTGTGTGAAAGAGCTGAAAGAGATCCTTGTGTTCGCTTTGCAACACTGAGGTGGCACAGCGCGAAGTCATGCCATGACTATGGCCATGACCATGACTATGACCATGGTCGTCATCATGGTGATGGTGACCATGCTTCTCCGTGGCCGCGTCGCGAAGAACTTGTGCCAAGCGAGCGTAGCCCTCGTGACGCTGGCATGGATAAGAGCAGGAAGAGGGGAAGCCCAGTGTCAGCAAGGGGATGCCAATGAGAAGACATCTTTTCCCCCGGTTGACGACCATACCTCAGGGCTCACAGTGAAGGCGGCACGTTCACCGATACTCATCGATTGAACGGCCTCTTCCCACGCTGGTAAGAGAAACTGCTTGCCCAAGCGCAGCTCAAAGGGCCCTATGAAATCGCCGTGAGCTTCGGCAAAGCAACGATGCAAAAGAGAGAAGCCGGCTTTTGCGCCACGGGCTGACCAAAGCCATACTGACCATTATCGAGCTTGCGTGAGTCATCGACCACAGTCCCGTTGTCGGCACGGCGTGTCACGAAATGAAAGACAGCCTGGAAGCACACATGCAGCAAGAGTGAAGCTTGGTCTTGAGCCAGTTCAAATCTACCAGTGCCCACGCCATCGCAGGACAAGAATGCCTGCCAACATGCACACCTTGTCGCCGGCAGACCACTCTGCCTTGCCTTGCCCCGGGTGCAGCACCGTTTTTGCCTTGATTTCCTTCATCTTCTTCAGAGAGGAGAAAAAAAAAATCCACCTGACAACCACGAGAAGTTTCGATGTTGCTTTTGACATTCAAATGCTGACATTCTTCTTTTTTTTTTTAAACACTCGACTTCACTCGACTTCAAAATTAAATTTTGATAAAACCACGCATGTGGTCACCATTATACGTTCTTCAAGTGTGAATCCAACGCGCGACAGTTACTCGTCATCCTCATCATCGACAATTGGTTCCTGAGACAAATCGAAATCGCTGGCGTCAAATTCACCAAACCCGTCCTGTGTCATGTTGTCCCCTTCACCCACGTCCAAATCTAAAGACGGGTCAAACCATGTGATAAGCACTCGACACCATCCTGCAACTCTTCATGCGAGTCTTCACTGTTCATACGTAGTGGACGACTTACACCCTGCTTCTTCCGATGCAGTAATGTGTGGGGGCCCCAAGGGAGTGTCTGCCTCCATATACTCCCCGTCAATGACTCCAGCTTGCGTCGGTTCTGCATATAGGCCGGAAGTCTCATCGTCGGGATTATACACGGGATTGTGGACGACGCTATCGCTCGTGTTGTCGTACTGTCATGTCGTGATGAGCCACGCAACCAAAACATTCCAGCATGAGACCAGGCTAGCTAGCGTGCAAGCTTGAGGACAGCTGCCAGTTCAGCCCCACGACAAAGCACCGCCACACCTACCAGCACGTTCTCAAAAGCCACAACATCGCGATCCCGCGCCTTCAACTTGCGCGCCTTGCGTCGTCGTTGTACCACAAAGATGCTTAGCATAACCACCACCACCGCGCCCAGTACAGCGCCCACTATGATAGGAATCAGCGATGAAGGTGATCCCGAACCGGAGCTCGAGGGAGCTGCCGTCGAGCCGCCAGGTGCCTGCCCCTCGCTGTATACCTAACGCAAGCCACACAGGGTCCCACACCCCCCGGAACCACACTACCGTGAGCAAAAACAGGACGCATTCCGCATTCGATTCCCCAATCTCCCCTTGCCTCATTCCTTTCTATACCCAGCACTCAGCGGACCGTCCAGCCGTCACGCAAACCACGGGGAAAACCTAAGACTCACCGAGACTGTAGACGAGTGAAACTCCACAGACAACGGCAAGCGTGCTTCAAATGCATTAGCCCTGGTGCGTGAGCGAAACAGGGCTACAGCGGACGTGTAGGTCGTCGCTCGTCGTTGTCCGTTCAGCAGCAAGACCCGTTCGATGCTACATCCGCAGAAAAAAAAAAAAACCAGGTGAGGCAGACACAGACACACACACACACACAGACAAACAGACACACAGACAAACAGACAGACAGACAGGCAGACAGGCAGACACACACACACACACACACACACACTGACACACTGACACGCGTACCCGGCGTCAGTACCCGCGGCCTGGATAATCCGATCTACAAAGTCTTGCTCATCCGCGACCGTGTCCAGCTCAACCCCAGGGTGCAGCTCCAAGTTCGTTGTCAACAACGGCGCACAAACCGTGTCGCTCGTCCGCGTGGCACCCGTCAACTCATAGTCATAGTCCCCGCATGTGCTTTTGGCAACACACGACCCTGTCAACTCACGCGTGTCCTCCAACACCTTGAATGTGCCAGTCTGCAAAGCATGTCGACGCAAACACGTTTAAAACACCTTGAGCCCTGCGTGCATCCGGTCTCTCGCATAATCCCCCTCAAATCAAGCAAGACAAGCCAAGCGCCGCACAAACGCACCGTGCACGCCGAACAAACACGATCGCTGCTAGCAGTAGGACCAGTCACCTCCTCCGCGCCCGCCGGACACAGTGTCACCTCCAAGCATGAAATGTCCTTCACATCCCACCATGAATAGCAACAAGGCCGTGCGCATGAGTCAGACACGCCACCACAGATGGCGGGCGCCTCCCCGCTTCAAACTACACTCACCTGGTTGACACGACACTCGGCGGCCATGTACATGTTGACAGGGCAGCTACGACATACAGCCAATGCGAGAAAGAACAAGGGCTGTTAAGACATGGGGGAAATCAGACAACAAAGAAAAGTTCAGACTGCCCGCCATTCGCGTTTGTGGATCTTCTACACCAAATCCAAGGCCATCTACCTGCTGTTGCACTGAACACAAGTGTCACTCTCGGCCGCGTAGTAAAAGTTGTCCTGCAGTCGCCCACCAAAGGTCGTCAGTCCCAGCATAAGCGTCTGATTCAATCCAGGCACACACACACACACACACACACACACACACACACACACACACACACACACACACACACACATACCTCGCAACCGCACACACGGTCAGACGTGGCATTGCCTTCGACCTTGATAATCTGCGTCGCCTTGCACGTCGTCCAGTCTTGGCAGGCTCCCGCATTGCT